TTGTGTTGTGATCTTGGTCCAAACCATCACGAGAGTTCCTTACAGAAACCCACAAATCATCTTCAGTGAGATACAATCAGTGTCCATTGATGAAGGTGAAAAGATGTTCATCTCGAAAAAATAGAGTGGAAGAAGGTTTAAGTTTTTGTTTTTAACATGTGAAGAATTACAAACAAAAATGGCCTGGACATTTTCTGAACAATTTCCATGCGAATGAGGAACACTGAAAGGTAGCAAAAAAATGTTTTTAAAATCCAAAGCCTTCTATAAAAAAACATGAGAGAAAAAAAATTTTGATTTTCAAACATGGTATGGATCATCTCAGAACATTAGTTGAACTGAAAACACAATTTATAAAACATGTAAATCTATCAGGTCTAATGTAAGTCATTTTAGTGTTATTAAACTGCACTTTCCTCTTTCTAAATCTGTCACTTTCATCCTGTCATAGGCTGACAATCAAAACTCAGTTCATCCAATCTGCAATTGAATCTGCCATAAATGTAAAAAATTAAAAAAAAAAAAAAAAAGAAAACAGGTCCTAAAAGTAAGCAGTAAAAAGCAAAAATTGGTTGTTTGTTTTACAACATTTTGGGTTCAGTAATAAAACTGCACGAGTGTTTCAAGTAACTTACACCTTTACGTAACAGTACAGCTTTACATCTTAAATGTAAAGTTCTAATAAAATATACTTCATTCAGTCGAAATGTTCTACAAAAGTTTGTTCACGCTTTAAGCTTTGCATCAAACTTTTAGACAACAAATCTATGTGAGTGTCTATTTTCATGGGGTGCTGTTTGTAAAGATACACAGACAAAAATTAACAGCAATATTTTGGTTTATTTAGCTTTTAATAAGAACAAAATATGTGTTGTTGTTTTTTTCAAAGTCATATTTTCACCATGCTATTCATAAATTTATAAATGTCATAGTTCCCAACTAAATATTTAATTTACAAGCTAAATATTTAGTTTACAAACTAAATACTTAACTTGCATGTCAAATGTTTAGTTAGTAAACTGAATAATTAGTTATAAGTTAAATATTTATTTTCAAAACTAAATATTTAATTTCCAAACTAAATATTTAATTTCTAACCTAAACGTTTATTTCCTAAACTAAATATTTCATTTGCTAACTAAATATTTAGCTCAGACCTAAATATATATTTTACAAAACTAAACATTTAATAACATGGTGAAAATATGACTTTGAAAAAAAAAATCTTATTAAAGGCTAAATAAACCAAAATATTGCTGTTAATTTTTGACTGTGTAACTTTACAAATGGCACCCCAACTTTTCTGCTACATTTTTTCAGTTTACCCTTTTTGTTTCTGTAACCCTACAACATATTGGTCAGCTTACTTGGGTTTAATTTAACATTTAGTGTTTGCTATAAGATTGTTTAATATGTTTATCACTTTTAAATAAAACCCTGCGATTCTACTTTAAATGATGCAATGATTTCAGCTGTACCTGATATCTTGACGTCTCAGACACTTTTACATCCAGTGAACCGGAGAGCACGGCGTACCAGCTGGTGCCGATGTCTCCTTGGCGAAACACTGGGGAGACAAAAAAAGCAAAAACAAAATTTTTGTTTATTTTCTCCTGAAATAACTATGAAGTCCTCAGATGTGTGTAGAAGCTGATGTTTTGACCTACGGGTGATCCCTTTCTCTAGGCACTCGTAGAATCCACACAAACAAATCTGCTGCAGCAAACTGGGGTGGAATTTCTCAAAGGTCTTCGCGTTTTTCAGACGAGCCAGGATGGTGTCGACGTCTTCACCTGAGCGCTCTGCTGGTCTGAAGGAATGAGGAGATCATTTGAATAAAGCCTATATGTGGAAAAGTTACTCTCCACGTATCATCAGAGCTTGGATTTTGTATTTAAAAACCTGAAATGCCACAGAACAAATGCACAAAATAATAAAAACTCTATTTAGTATGACTAAAAGTAAAACATTTGAAACAGAAGTTTCTTTATCTTTTTCATTTGAAGTGTATATACATTTCAAAACACATTTTTCTATTCTAATTTGTTAAAATGGCATGTAAATAATTAAGAAATAGATGCAACCTGTAGCACAACATTGTTGTAATTTGTTCATATTATAAGGAATTCCATCACTGCCTGTGCAACATTTCATGCAAATGGTCTAAAGCAATGTTTCCTCAAAATAGGAACCCCACTGTGGGCCATGAAACATCAAGTGAGGGTCCTCAATTGGTCTCCAGAAATCTGTGAAATGTTTAGCATTGGCAATTTTTCCACCATATTTACTACAAATCTTCTTTCAGCTTTTCCCTCTTCAGTGGTCTCCACAGCGAGTCATCCTCCTCCATCTCACTCTGTCCTCTGCATCCTCTGTCCTCGCTCCAACTACCTCCATGTCCTCTCTATATCTCCTCTTTGTCTTTTTCCTGGCAGCTGCATTTCTAACATCCTTACCACTATACCCACTGTCCCTCCTCTGGACATGTCCAAACCATCTCAGTCTGGTCTCTCTAACTTTATCTCCCAGTTATTCAACCTGTGCTGTACCTCTGAAGATCTCATTCCTAATTTTATCCATACTTGTCACTCCTAAGGAAAACCTCAACATCTTCATTTCTGCCACTTACAGTTTTTCTTCTGTCTTTTTGTCCATGTCTCTGTCTCCAGACCATACAATATAGCTGGTCTCACCACGGTCTTGTAAACATTTCCTTTGACTTTTGCTTTTTTTGATGCCTCAAATCGTGCCCTGTCTAGGACAGGGTGTGAGAGATCTTTTTTTTATACCATCTCTCCTCATGTTTTCTTTCCTTTTCTCATCTAAGCAAAATATTGTTCTGAATAAGAATAAGAGGGCCGCGCTAATTTTTTATAGCCGCATCTTCGTGCACTCCGCCCATCTTTGGACGACTGTATGTACATATTTGCGTTGTATCTCAGTGCAATGCCAATAAAGTTTATTCTGATTCTGATTCTGATTCTGCTGACACCCTTTTGTCACAAATCACTTCTGAAACTTTTCTCCATCCACTCCATCCTGCCTGGACTCTCTTTTTAACCTCTTACCCACATTCCCCATTGTCCTGGACAGTGGACCCCAAGTTACTTGAAGTCCTGCACCTTTGTGACCTCTGTTCCTTGTAGCCTCACTGTTTCACCAGCCTCCCTCTCATTTACACACATGTACTCTGCCTTACTACAGCTGACTTTCATTCCTCTTCTTTCAAGTGCATACCTCCACCTGTCCAAGTTCTCTTCCACCTGTTCCCTGTTTTCACCACAGACCACAATGTCATCTGCAAACATCATAGTCCACGAGAATTCCTGCCTGACCTCATCTGTTAGTCGGTCCATCACCACAGCCAACAAAAAGGGGCTCAGGGCCACTCCTTGATGCACTCCCATCTCCACCTTGAAGCTATCTGTCATTCTTACAGCACATCTCACCACTGTCCTGCTGTCCTCATACATGTCCTGTACCAGTTTAACATACTTCTCTTCCACTCCAGATTTCCTCAATACCACAACTCATCCCTCGGCCCTGTCATATGTTTTTTTCTAAATTCACAAAGACACAATGGAGTTCTTTCTGATCGTATCTGTGCTTCTCCATCAGCATCCTCAATGCACAGATGGTGTCTGTGTTGTTCTTTCAGAGCATGAAACCATATTGCTGCTCACAAATAGTCACCTCTCATCTAAGTCTTGCTTCCACACCTCTCCCAGATCTTCATCATGTGGCTCATCAACTTAGTTCCCCTGTAGTTGCTATAACGCTGTATATCAACCTTGCTCTTAAAAATGGGAACCAGCACACTTCTCCACTCCTCAGCCATTTTCTCACCCGCAAATATGCCATTAAATATTTGAGTCAGAAACCTCACTTTCCAAGACATTTCCAAACCTCCACTGGTATGTCATGTATGTCATTAGGTCCTACTGCCTTCCCCTTCTTCATTCTTTTCAGATCTTTCTGGACTTCACCCTCACTAATCTTTCCCACTTCCTGGTCCACAGTTTCTCTGACCTCTACTCTCCCTTTCATTCTCTTCATTCATTAGCTCATCAAAGTACTCTTTCCATCTTTACACTCTCCTCACTTGTTAGAACATTACCATTCCTATCTTTAACAATCCTAACCTGCTGCACATCCTTTCCAGCCTAATCCCTCTGTCTCGCCAATCAGTACAAATCCTTCTCGACCTCTTTAGTGTACAGCCTCCCATATAATTCATATAACTTCGGCTTTGACTTTGCCACCTCCCTCTTTGATCCATGTTGCATCTTCTTATATTCCCATCTCCTCTCTTCAGCTCTCTCACTGTCATATTTCTTTATGGCTAGCCTCTTTTATTGAATAGCTTCCTGCACATCACTATTCCACCACCAGGTTTCCTTATCATCTGATATACCATATTTACTACAAATGGTAGTAGTAACTTATGAAAAATAGTACCAAAGTATACAGTTTATGTGTAATTATTGTGCTCATTTTTCACAGGGTTATTAACAAAGTTTGTATTCTTAAACTGATAATATATGGTGTCACAAGACTCAGCCTGCAGCTGTTATTATGTGGGTCAGAAGCAGAAACGTTAAGGAGCTACTCGCCTAAAGCAAACATATTCTGGTATTCTGAAAGTTTGCTTCATGCTACTTTCAATAAAATCTCAATAGACAAATTAAATCCCCCTATGATTAGAACTTTATCACAATTCCTCTAAACTTTTTTGCTTCTGAGCTTCTGGTTCATCTGCTTTGTTGCTGAATCGCTGCATGTGACTACTGTTTTTTAAAACAAGCATATTTGTTTCATTGGATCTACATTTGTGCGAGCATGTTTGAGAAGAATAAAATGTCATATTTCTTTTAGTACAGAAAATCTTGTTGTATTGCTTTAATGCAACGACAATGAAGAATTATACTCTATTTTAATGGGTCATCCAAGCAGGGAATATTTACAAAAGAGGACTTGTGACCTATCCAGTGTGCACCCCACCTCTCATGCAATGACAGCTGAATATGGGCACCAGTGACCCCCATGACACGAAAAGGAAGAAGCGGGTAAATATGATGGATGGATGGATGGATGGATGGATGGATGGATGGATGGATGGATCGCTGAATGGATGGATGGATGGATGGATGGATGGATGGATGGATGGATGGATGAATGGACTGATGCATTAGATGGAGAATTTCTTCAAGTTTAAATGTGAACTCATAAATGTTTCATTTCTGTCCTATTTTTTTACTAGTGAACTCAAATGCAGCAGAAAGTTTTGACCACTACATCAAACATAAACCAACATGTTTGAACTTTATGTATTTCTCTGCTTTCTGATGGAATCCACAGCCTCTGATGTTCATAGGTGATTGAAATGTAGCCTACATCATCTGAGTCAATGTAAAAAGTGAAACCAAGCATGATTAATAATTCTAAAGAAATGAGGTATTGCTTCTAGCTCACTGTTTCTTCTAGTAATTGTACATTTTCATATGTGTCACGAATTATTCCCACACTTTTGTTGTACAAATGTTTTCTCTAAGGAGAAACTCTTAAGACAATAGGTATTCATTGGTCACTAAGCTCCACAGATTTCATTACTCACACCAGAATGTGTGAAATTGAAGACAATGGTGTGTAGGAGTTGGAGTATTTTTAAATGCCAATGACAAAAAAAAGACAAAAAATTAAGAAGCTGAATTATCTACATTTTAATCTACATGCAGTGTGGCATGTGGGCAATACCTGTTGCCTGCATGTTTATCATTCAATGCATTTTGCAGGAATCGGCTCACTGTGAAAACATGAGGACGGTAATTGGAGGGAAAATCTGAGTCACACAAAAACCAATAGATTTAAGAGGAGCATGTGGCTTCCACAAGCAAGCAAGGGATATTACTGTGCAAACACATCTGCATACTGCGTCAGTTTGCTGATTTTTTATTGCTGCTGTACTTTGGACTTTCTCTTTGTTAGACACCCCTCATTCTCTTATTATCCCTGAGCTGAGGCTAACATTTTTGAATATTTGACAAAAGGACGATGCTGATCTACTAAAATGTTGTCATTGTGATCAGTTTTTTTTTTATTAAAGGTGTAATAATTGCTAAATCTCCTATGAAAACTGCTTTGAAGTGTATATTATGCATAAAATGTAGCAATTATTTGAAATAGAAACCTGAGATAGAGGATAAGTGCAATGTGAAGTAATGGTAAAATGTGTTCTTCAGGTGTTCTGTGGTTTAAAACTTCACCTGTAGGTGAGTGCATTCAGTAGTTTAGCATGACCTTTTAAATGAAAAAATTCAAATAAAAAAAAAAACATCCTTCTGAATCCTGCTGATGTAAATGAATGAAGCAGCTTTAGTCTGGTGCAACTGTTCCCAAATATTTCAGGTAGCCCACAAAACAACACATGTAGTAAAGTTTTGTGTCCCATTAGTTAAAGTGTACTAATGTAAAAAGTAATCCATCCATCCATCAATCCATCCATCCATCCATCCATTATCTCTACCCACTTTTTCCTTTTCGGGTCACGGGAGGTCACTGGTGCCCATGTCCAGCTATCAGTGTGCGAGAGGTGGGGGACACCCTAGACAGGTCTCCAGTCCATCACAGGGACACATAGAGACTAACGAGACAAACAACCATTAACTCTCTCACTCACACACCTAGGGACAATTTAGTTACCAATCAGCCTAACGTGCATGTTTTTGGTTTGTGGGAGGAAACCGGAGTACCCGGAGAAAACCCACGCATGCACGGAGAGAACATGCAAACTCCACCCAGAAAGGCCCCCAGCCAAGATTTGAACCGGTGACCTGCTCGCTGTGAGGCGGCAGCT